CACACACACACACACACACACACACACACACACACACACACACACACACACACACACACACACACACACACACACACACACACACACACACGAGCGTAAGGTTTCATAAGCAGCCTGTTGGGCCTTGGCGGAGGTATGAACTCTACTTGCAGCAATACAAGTCATTGAAATACATTAAAATCCATTGACCTGCATTGAAATTTGGGTCAAATGGAGATTTTTCTGACCTTTGCCTGAATCACGGCGACTCTTAAAACTTTATCGAGGACAAACAACTGTGATGCAACCGTGTTCTGAACCCCCCCCCCCAAAAAAAAGCTGATTCATCCTCAAAATGTCAAACTCTGTCAAAGTGAACACACACAGGAAAATATCAGGTTTCTTCATCGGGGGGGGATTCCTGAACTCAGGGTTCTCGTTGAGAAATCTCAGCCTCGCTGCCGATATTAAGACCCTGGATGTTTCTGTGAGCAGAAGAGAAGCCCGAACTCGGAGGGACACACCATGAAGGTGCTGGAAGCCACGCTCAACATTTATTCATCAGATTTAGAACAACTTTGTTTCTTATGATTTTAAAATAGTCTGATCTGAGAAAACCTCTCGTGTTTTTGTTCACAGTTGGATTTGGCCGTTTGTTCGTCATTGCTCCTCATCTTGCTGTCTCCAGTTTGGTAGGTTCCATTATCTCTTTGAATTCTCCTGATTCTAGGTTTTATATCAGCTTCTTTTGTTGTGTGATGATTCTTTACAATTAGTGTAATGGCTCATGAACTTGTGTTTTATTCATGAATGTGTTCACCAGATATAAGATCCGTGGTTGTACCACTTTAACATTGTATTGACATGAAAACATTAATGACCCTGTTCTCACCAGCCCGTCACATCATCCACCGTTATTTTGATATGGTCGTTAATCTCATGCTACTTTTTTATTTACTGTTATTCAGGCGGTGAAAATATAACATAAAGTTGTTAATCGTGTCAATGTCCATCTGTCTCAGCTGCCAGCAGTCTGTGAACTGCAGATGGGGTCCTTATGGAGAGTGGTCCGAGTGCGACGGCTGCACCAGCACTGAGGTAGCTCAAAAGTAAAGCTGATGTATTGATTTTATGATAAAATACACAACCAGCACACACACACAGCAACACAAACATTAATCCGGAGTCATATTCGTGTCCTGATGAACACAAGTCCAATGTTCACGCTCTGTGTGCACAACAGTACAAGTCTTTGCTGTTTGTCAATAAGGCAAATTCTTCTCGTGTCAAAGTTTCCTGAAGCTGAACTTTGGTCAAAAACAGTTTCATACTTCTGGAAAGAATTTAAAATTGGAAAATGGATTTGACAGCAAATGTTGATTCTTTGTGAGTTCAACTTTAGCACAAATTAAATTGATTGTCTGTGAACCCTCAAACTTTTATTCTATTTAACGTGAAACGTATAATCGCTCCCTTCTCAGGCGCGCACTCGTCACGTGGAGGTGTACGCCCAGTTTGGGGGTGCGGCGTGTTCAGGGGAAGCCACTCAAACACAACCGTGTGTTCCGCAGAAAAGATGTCCCCTGGAAACGGGCTGTGGAGACAGGTTCCGCTGCACCTCTGGTTAGTTGCAACTTATTAAACCGTCCAAAAAGCCTCAGAGCAATTTTTCATCATATCATGATAAGTTTCTGTTTTCATCAAATAAGAATTACAACACATATTTCGTTTTTTAATTCTAATTTCTAAATTAAAGTTGGGGCTGTTTGTCTCTTGTAATGTGAAGTAAAGACTCTTATTATTGAAACAGGTCAGTGTATCAGTCGCACTCTGCTGTGTAACGGAGACTTCGACTGTAACGACGGTCTGGATGAGAGAGGCTGTCCCCAAGACGACCAACAGTTCTCGTGTGACCTCGACAAAACGCCTCCGAACGCTGACTTCACAGGCAGAGGGTGAGTAGGAACAACTCCACCACCAGGGGGCGGTAGCGTTACCGTAAGTACGAAGGCTAAATGACTAAAATAACACCCTGTTGGTTTTTCTCTCGTCGTGGTTTACAGGTACGACGTGTTGACGGGGAAACTGAGAGCAGGCGTGATCAACACTCAGAGCTTCGGAGGTCAGTGCAGGAAGGTGTTCAGCGGCGACCACAAAGTCTATTACAGACTTCCGCAGAGCGTCCTCAGGTACAACTTTGAGGTGAGTCCGGGGAGAAATGTCACGATCACGGTCAAGGTTGTGACTTGACGATGGGTTGAGCGGTTGTTGAGCGTTTCATTGGCGGACTGAGACTTTGCTTGTGCTGCAGGTGAAGGTGGACAACGAAGACACCGATGAATCCTACGAAAGTTCCTGGTCGTACACTCAGCACATCCAGGCCAACGCCTTGTTCGGACACGACCGCCGCACCTTCCACAAGGACCTCACCGAGAACAAGGTCACGATAAAACCTTTGTGGGCGTGTAAAAGACTATTTTTAAAGTTTTATTAACCAGGCCCTGCTGTTCTCCCTCCGTCCAGGCGTCCAGATTAATAATCCTGAAGAATAAAGTGGAACTGGCCCAGTTTCAGAACTCCGCCCCTCAGTATCTCACTCTGTCCGAAGGCTTCTGGAAGGCCTTGTCCTCGCTGCCGTTCACATACGACTACTCCGCCTACCGCCAGCTGCTCCAGACGTACGGCACGCACTACCTCTCCGAGGGCTCGCTGGGCGGCGAATACCAAGGCTTGTTGGAGTTGGACCGCCAGGCGCTCACTTCGACCAGTAAGAACCTCACAACCTTTTTCAAGTCGGTCGATAATTAGACTTTTGCTTCAGTTGCCACGTAAACAAGTATGAAAACAAGTATTTGCTTTAAAAAAAAAGTTCAAAATGTACATATAAAGTATTTAAATAGAAAGTATTCAAATATAAAGGGCGCATTCGAGGATAAATAAATTATTAGATTATTTTATATTCAGTTTCTGCCAATAGATCCTTTCACCTAAATCTTACAGACTGGACCTTTAAAAAGTTGAGTAATGATTAATAGTGACGTGAGCTGATCATTAGTTTTAAACCCATTGTTGCTGCGTTGTTTGTGTACAGGTACAACAGATACCGAGTACAAGAGGTGTTGGAAGAAGGTGAAACGCCGGTTCTTCCGGAAGAAAGTGAAAATCACGTGTGAGACATTCATGAACTCCATCTCCTCCAGGGACGGTGAGTGAACGCCTGACGTTGACCCTTAAAATAAAACGTGTCGTGGTCTTGAGTAACATTTTAACTTCCGCTGCTTCCACAGGACACAATGTGAATAAAATGCCCATTAAAGTCAACGTGTTCGGAGGAGACCCGTCCTTCATCGGCGCTCTGAGTGTTCTGGATCTGGAAAAGCCAGAAACTAACGGAGAGATCTACGATAACTGGGCCTCGTCTGTCAAAGACTTCCCCAACATCATAGACCAGAAGGTACGACTTCCATGGACCGATTTATATTTTATAACCTCTGTTCTGTCTTTACTGCACTTGTGTGTGTTGATTTCCTGGTTTTCCATTATTCAGAAAAACTGACACAATCATGAAATATTCAACATTGAAGGATATTTCTGGTCAGATCATGTGTCTCTGCTGACACTCATGAACAAACTGTGAATTCTCCTCCAGCTGCGTCCTCTGCACGAGCTGGTGAAGGAGGTGCAGTGTGCGGGTTTGAAGAAGCTGCACCTGGAAAGAGCCACGGAGGAGTACCTGTCCGAGGAGCATCCCTGTCACTGCCGTCCCTGCCAGAACAACGGCCAGCCGCTGCTGAGCGGCTCCGTGTGTCGCTGCGTCTGCCGGCCGGGGACCTCGGGGCCGGCCTGCCAGACTGGAGCTGTGATCGGAGAGCAGCCAGGTAACAACAGAGTTTAATCCAATAATTGAATATCTTTTAAAAAAAGGGTTAAAGTGCTTGAGATAAAGTTTAATGTTACCGTGGTCTCTGGTTCTTCTCTCAGGGCTGATCCATGGCGGCTGGAGCTGCTGGTCCTCGTGGGGATCGTGTTCTGGAGGTCGAATGTCAAGAACTCGCAGCTGCAACAATCCCGCTCCCAGCAGAGGTGGACAACACTGCACTGGACCGAGATCGGAGCAGAAGCCTTGTGAGGACCCACAGATCCAGTATTTACAGTGAGGACGGATACACACACGCTCTAATGTTCACAACACGTCGCTGCAGCTCCTCCTTTCAGCCTCTGTCTCAAACACTTGGTGCCCCAGCTGGGCCACTCTGCCGTCTCCTCTCATTTGGTTCTAACAAGTCAAATCACTGTGTGCAGGACGATGGAGCCTCAGTGTTTCAGTCTCTCTGTGACGCCACCAAAGACCTGTGGTCCGCCTCCGAACCTGAGGAACGGCTTCATCCAGGTGAGTCTGAGAAATGAATGTTATCACCTGTGTTTGTTCGCAGGATCACTCGCATGTTATTATCTACGTGTTTTAAAGTGCAGCCGCTGTTTTATCTTCCTCTCAGAATCCCAGAGATTTCTACGTGGTGGGAAACACGGTGGAGTTCTCCTGCACAGAGGGACATTACCTCAGTGGAGACGCCGTGACCCGCTGCACTGAAAACCAGACGTGGACGCCGAGGACGACGGTTTGCAAAAGTGCGTCTTCGCTTTACGTTTTTCTTGTCTCTCTGTTTGTCCCGCTCGCTTGAACAGATTTCACTGACACGTCGTCATCTCCCCTCGACCCAGGTACCACGTGTGGGATTCCGCAACTCGGCGCTGAAGTTATGGCCACGCCCACCAAAGCGGCCTATCAGATCGGAGACGGGGTGTCCCTCTCCTGTCCTGCAGGGTCGCTGCTGGACGGCGAGGTGTCAGAGGTCATCTGTAGTCCCAGTCTGCAGTGGTCTCCGTCTCCTGCAGGCGCTCGTTGTAAAGCAGGTACGTTTATTCTCGGAATATTTATATTTATATGATTTTTACTGTGATTTCATCGTCTCTTGGAAACTTAAAATACAAAAATACTGCAGTTTAATTTGATTCACTATTTAAAAATACATTTGTATGTATCATCCCTGATGGAGACGATTGAAACTGATGGAATCTGTGTCCTCCTCAGCGCCCACAGCTCCTCCTCCTCCATCCGGCCTGAAGTGTAAACCGTGGGAGACCGCAGGGAAAAACAAGTGTGTGTGTAAAATGCCGTTTCAGTGCACGTGAGTACGAAATTTGAGAATAATTTCTACGCTTCACTCGGAGAAACGTTCGGTCCAAGTCTTTAAAGAACAAAACTGACTGAAAATCTGTTTTGTCTGGATTCAGGGCTTCACTGCTGTTGTGTGCCAGACTCGGCTCGGCCCCGAAGCTGCTCAGCACGTGTCAGCTCGGAGCTCTGCAGTGTCTCGGTCGCAGCTTCTCTCTGACCAGCGACGCCGACTGTCAATGGCCAGAGGGGGCGTTCTGTCAGGGTGAGTCTGCTGCAGGATTTTAAAGGAGAAACCTGGTCATTTTTTTTTAAAGTCCGAAAAACTTATAAATAATAAATACGAGTTTGTGACGTCAGAAGAATATGACTTTCTTTTTCTTTTTCCCCCAATTCTAGAGTCAGCGAGAGAATGCCCCACAGACTCCGCCCCCCTGTGCGTTAGCTCTGGCGTTGTCACGACGATGACGGAATGCGAGGTGGGAGCGAGGAGGTGTGGGGGGGAGCTGATGAACGTGATCGGCATCGACGCTTGTCCAGAATAAAAACTTTGTTTGTTTCTTATTTAATCTGTAAATTAAACAGGAACATTTAATAATGTAAATAGATTCATTCAAGTTTTTGTTTTTATATATTTGTCACAGAGGACGGATGATTGGCGACAGTTGCGT